GGAAAAATATTTTGAAGGGTCTCTGGTAGAAGGCAGGTTTTGATTGCCAATACCATAATCTAAATTTCACCACAAATACTGACTGACTCAAAAACAGCAAAAGAGAGAGGTCTCCAATTACCTATTAGAGAGCCAAGTTTAATCTGAGTATTGTAGGCATATTAAACTCATTTGTGGAATTGAATACAAGATAATACACTCATGTTCTGATGCAAATCTATAATTTCAAGTCGAGTTTGCCAATAACAGTGTTACTGTGGTACAAATTCAAAGTTTAACATGCCTGTGTTCACGTGCTTTCCAAACACATTTCAGAGTCCACTTGTTGTACAGATAAGCTCTGAAATCTGCTATTTTGGATTTTATCCAAGAAACGTTCTGCAACCAAAAGGGGTTTGGTTATTTTAATCACCTCTCCTTAAGCAATCCATTTCTTTTAGCCTTAAATGTTGAAAACTAGTTCATTAATTTCAACCAAAATCTGCCACCCTGAAATTTCTTCTACTTTTCAGGTGAGAACACCTTCCAGGTAAAAGTTTCAATGGCCCAATTTCAGCCTATTATGAAGAATGATTTTGGGTGGGGAGGTGGGGTGGGGAGGGCCAGAGGAAGAGGGAGAGAGAGAGTCCTAAGACACAACCTGAGATCATGACCTAAGCCAATCAAGAGTCAGATGCTTAACCAACTGAGCCACCCAGGTACCCTAAGAATGACTTTCTAACAATTCAAGGGCTTCAGTGGACACTGAGTTCCCTATCAACATGACGACTACATCAATTGAGTACACATGAATTGCACATACACTATGTGCTAGACACTCTTTTAAGTGCTTTGCCTATCTTCAATCTTTTATCACGACAACACCTTTAAGTGAGTGCTATTATTTATTCCATTTTACAGATGAAACAGGCACATGGATTTGAAACAATGTGAGTCAAATCAGACACGCAGATAGTAAATAAATAGAGTCAGGACTCAAATCCAGGCAGTTTAAATCCACTGACCATACTGCAAAGCCCTGTGACATAAAATCAGCACTGGACACAGGTAATTCCAGTAGCATAGGATGTTTGAACTAAATGACATTTGAAGTCTTTTCCAATCATGAGAATATGTCACACAGAATTTTCATGCAATGTGAACGTTTTCACTTAACCACTCCTTCCCCAGAGTCTAAAATAGTTACCTCTCTAATGTGCTCCCTTGGATGCTTGTACTTCCTCTATAATGACACCTACCCAATTGCTTTACAAAACCGAACTTCCTCAGAATAAGGACTATTTCTGCCTTCTCTCTCTCTCTTTTTTTTTAAAGATTTTATTTATTTATTGGACAGACAGAGATTACAAGTAGGCAGAGAGGCAGGCCGAGAGAGAGGAGGAAGCAGGCTCCCCGCTGAGCAGAGAGTCCAATGCAGGACTAGATCCCACGACCCTGAGATCATGACCTGAGCCGAAGGCAGAGGCTTTACCCAACTGAGTCACCCAGATGCCCCTATTTCTGCCTTCTTAATCATTATACCCTGAATATCTAACACAGTGCCTGGCACAAAGTTGGCACTGAATTTGTTGAGCAAGTGAATAAAAGATATAACAAATCATTAACATCAGTAACATCCCATTTTTCTTCAATTTAGTCTTACTGCAGAACTAGACTCTAAAATGAAGACTAGAGGAAAACAGATACATACTAGAAATTAACTGTCTTTAAAAAGCATATTCCATATCCCTTTCTGCTTACTGTATGTTGCTTACTGAAATATGTATGTACATATTTAACAAGAGATTAGTTAAATAAATTACTATCTGTTCACACAGTAGAATATTGGACTTATATTAAAAATGATGTTGGAAAAATAAGTTAATCACACAGAAACACATTTTCAACGCACTGATTTTTTTTAAATTAACCAATCAACCCACTTTTTGTTCATTTGAGAAAAGAAAAAAGAAAAAAATTAAATGGTATTTATACATAAACATTACTGAAAGGATGTGTTAGAACCCTAAGTAGCAATAATGTTTCTGTCTGTTACAGAATTGGAGATGAATTTTTCTTTTTACAGGTGAAGTTTTTTTCTATTTCATTTTTCTTTATGTTCTAAATTTTCCACAATGAACATGTAAAGAGAAAAAATAAAGAGTTGTGGGTTTTGTTTCATTTTTGCTAAATAAAAATGAATTACTTACATAAAATAATTAGAAAGGAATGTGTTCAACTTCTACCCTATACTCAATTTTCTCTTTTTTCCCAATACTTTTTTAAAAATTTTATTTATTTTTATTTGACAGAGATCACAAGTAGGCAGAGGCAGGCAGAGAGAGAGTGAGGAGGAAGTACGCTCCCTGTGGAGCACAGAGCCCAACTCTGGCGGGGCTCCATCCCAGGACCATGGGATCATGACCTGAGAAGGCAGAGGCTTTACCCCACTGAGCCACCCAGGCGCCCCTTTTTTCCCAATACTTTAAATGAAATGCCATATGTGACTTTGTGTAAGGGGGAGGGGTGGCTCTTGGGAAATATTTTTTCAAAGTGGAAACAAAGCAGAATACCATCCTCACCCAAACTTGACTAACATATTCAGAGGCTAACTGTGCTGGCATGAATTTCTTCATGGTTTTGCCTTTCTCTGTGCATTGTAATAATGATACTAACTCCCCAATGAAGTGATTTAAACAAACAAGAAAGCAGTAACAAATCCTGTATAACAGCGTACCGCTAAAGAGAAAAATGAGAGCTAGATGCAGAAATGGAAAAAAATAAACAAGTTTAAGGCAGTGATAGTTCCTGGCCTAGAACTATGTATTTTATGGGGGAAATCATATACAAACATTCCAGGCAAAAAAAAAAAATTCTAGATGTTTTCTTTAGTTCTTCTTATTTTTTCCCTCCAGTGATTCCAGATTTGGCAACTCCTGAAAAATGTTATGCCAATATTCTAACTTCTTAATTTATTCCTTCGCCATAACAACAGGAAAGAAAGCGTGGAAAGAGACAAGGGAGGAGGATAAGAAAGAAGATAGAAGGTGGTGAGCAATGCTGGCTGTTGTTCCTTGTAATAGAATCCAATTGTCAGCTGATACAAATAATGGTTAGGAAATTTTTTTTTTAAAAAGGAGGGAGAGGTGCATATGTGAAGGAGGGTGTGCCTGCAAGTCATTGAAAACTGGCTTTCTTTCCATCTATTTGGGAAAGGATTGAAGTTTGATGACCAAAATCGGTAGTAGGAATAGAAAGTGTGGAGGTAACACTCTAAATGACAGCATGAGGTAATCAGAAGATAAACAGCTCCATATCTCCATACCTTGGAGTCATATAAGCAGTAATCTGGGGGGGGTGGGCAACTGGGTGGCTCAGCAGGTTAAGCCTCTGCCTTCGGCTCAAGTCATGATCTCAGGGTCCTAGGATGGAGCCCCACATTGGGTTCTCTGCTCAGTGGGGAGCCTGCTTTCCCCTCTCACACTCTATGCCTGCTGCTCTGCCTACTTGTGATCTCTCTCTCAGTCAAATAGATAAATAAAATCCTAAAAAAAAAAAAAAAAAAAGGAAACAAAAAAAACCTGGGAACCAGGTCCACCTACCCAAAGGACCCACCTCTGCATAGATAGGAAAGATAAGAGGCCATTTTCTGACGAACACTGGACTTAAAATCATACATGAGATGTTCTATGTACTAGCAGCTTGACTTGAATAGATTTTTGCATATGCCTGCCAACTACAGTTCCTGAAGTTCTCCAGAGTCCCCCCAGGGGAGAGCACTCCTTGGTGAGATATATACTAAATATTTAGTGAGATTTTATGTAAAATGACATATTATTTCTAGTTTCTTGATTAATTACAAAATCACTCTTGCCTGCTTTCCTTCTCACTGAGCAAGTCTCTCTTTCCTTTTTGAAATTGGCATCATCGCATCCCATACTAATTTACCTGTTCAGCTCTCCACAACAAAGGTATACCTGGTCCAAAATGCCAGGATTGTTAATGTTGAGAAACCCTAGCTTATATATATATACGACTTCATTTATATTTTCTGAGTGCCATTTTATTAATCTGTAAAATGGAAATAAAAATACCTCCAAAGTATTTACTGATCCGTAAAAATACAAATTTGGGGGGCACTGGGGTGGCTCAGTCATTAAGTGTCTGCCTTTGGCTCAGGTCATGATCCTAGGGTCCTGGGATCCAGGCCCACATTGGGCTCCCTGATCCTCGGGAAGCCTGCTTCTCCCTCTCCCACTGTGTCTCTGTCAAATAAATAAATAAAATCTTTAAATATATATACAAATTTTTTATTCAAGACCACCTACCTCATACGCAATAATACTAAACATTACTAAATCTTGGACGTAGATATCTAAGTGTAGTTATCTCTGTGCTATATTACAATCTTGGTACTTGCTTGATGTCTATGGTTCTACTTGTACTCCTGACTCCTTTTGTTGCTGAGCATGATAATTGTACTCCTGGACCCTCATCTTTTTCTGCCTGGGTTCCTTACGTATTCTGTCTGCTAATATTGTCTTCCCTTGTGTAATCATTTGACCCTCACTGTTCCTTGGCTCTATGTGAAGCCCAAGGAATAGTGTTAGAGCTTGAAATTCTTTCATGCATTACTGAATTTTATGTATACAATAGAATAAATTTCAGGATATAATTCTTTTATAATTCTTTAAAATGAACTTTTCTTTTTGTTTTCTTAACATGCTCATCATTAAAACTTTTTAAAAAGATAGCAACAAAGATATTTGAAACATTTAATCTCCAAACCTAGAAATATCTCTGCCATTATTTTGTCTTTTTTCAATGCATGTTTTTTTTCTTCCATTAAAAAGTGTTGTGAGGGGCGCCTGGGTGGCTCAGTGGTTTAAAGCCTCTGCCTTTAGCTTAGGTCATGATCCCAGGGTCCTGGGATGGAGCCCCGCATCAGGCTCTCTGCTCAGCAGGGAGCCTGCTTCCCTCCCTCTCTCTCTGCCTGCCTCTCTGCCTACTGTGATCTCTGTCTGTCAAATAAATAAATAAAATCTTTAAAAAAAAAAAAGTGTTGTGATGTTAATACTCTTCTGTAATTTTTTCCCATTTAATAATACATTGGGAACCTCTTTCCATTCTCTAGCATCATTTTTAATGCTTCATAGTAATCCAGTATACAAGTATATTAATTTATTTAACCAACTCTGTATTGTTCGTAATTAGACTGTATTGTTGGGTAATTTTTACTTTCTACAAATATGTCCTTCTAAATATTTCTAAAGCAAATCTTTGAGCATTCTTACCACATTCTTACCAAAAACTGGGATACACGAATCAAATGACATGCAAAAGTTTTGAGTTTTGACATACAGTGTCAAATTGAATGGGAATTTTACTTCAAATTAATGAATTTTTTGGTTAGTAGGGGTTCATAAGCCATGGGACATTCTTCATCCAGGTTGGTTTCTCGCTACAGTGGCGTCTCATCACATATCTGTGAAATGAAAGCCGAAATAAGGCTAGCAATTGGTGGTGATTAGTCAGTACCATCATCCCTACTGTTAGCTAGCTTTGAGTTATCCTGAGATTCAATTCCACTGAACTTGAGTGACTACTACGTAGTACTTAAAAACAATGTGGAGACTACAAACTGCCCACCTTGAAAGTGTTTATAATTTAGTGTTCACATATAATTATTACACAATACAAAATGTGGTAAGTTCAGTAAAAAAAATTACAAAGTGCTATGGGAAAAGGAATATTTCTGAATAGAATGTTTGGGAGGTTTACATAAAGGAAGTGGAATTTAATCTGGACTTTGATAAAGATAAGGTCAGACTTTGACTAGCTGTGGGCAGAAAGGTTTCCTGGGTATGAAGACATACAAAGTAAAATGCCCAAGGACAAGAAGGTGTGTGATATTCACAACAAAGGGAAGGGGGGGCAGCAACTGAGATGCCTCATGAGTATGGTTAATGTAAGGCAATAATGGGAGATACACCAGGGAAGCAGACTGATAATCAAATTTTAATACATTGCTGAGAAGCAGAAACTATATGGAGGGAAATAGGGAGTTAATGAAGGGGAGAGATATGTTGCAGAAAGGTTAGTGTGTCAGCAATGTCGATCACAGAGGTACCTCATATTGGGAAGTACTTAGAAGTCCCATAAGAAGTAAATAAGGATCCCCATCCCCTCCAAAACCCATAGTTTGTTTCTCAGGGAGGGTGGTAGGGGACTGGGTGAGCCTGGTGATGGGTATTAAGGAGGGCACGTATTGCACGGAGCATTGGGTGTGGTGCATGAACAGCAAATCTTGGAACACTGAAAAAATTTAAAAATTAAATTAAAAAAAAAGAGGAAGTAAATAAGGACCTGGAAAGTAAAGGGGCAGGTAAAGAGGCAGGCTGTGAGGCAAAGAAAATGTATAGCTGAAACTCGTTAAGTTACATAGGATATAATAACAAAAGGAAGAGTGAAAACCGGCAAAATTAAAAAGCTGAATTTGTAGTCTGTGTTCCCCTACACACGCACCCAAGTTTTTTCCTAAATAAACATCCAATTGTCAACAGACTGGTCACCTGTTTATTTAGCTTTATTTGAAAAGCACCAGCACCACCTGGTGACAATATTTCAGATTGCCCCTCCCTAACAGCCCTGATTCCTTCTTTCAGTTGTTTTTTTGAAAAAATTTCACACATACATAAAAGTTGAGAGAATACTAAAATAAACACCCTTATACTATCACCTATATTTACCAAAAGTTAATGTTTTGCTACATTGGCTTTATCTTTTTCTATATGTGTTCATATACTAAACCATTTGAAAATAAATTATAGACACAAAAACACTTAAGCTCCAAAATTTTCTGCATCAATCTCCTAAGAAAAGGATATCCTCTACATAAACACAGTATCGTCACCTGAACTGAAAAATCAACAATTTTACATCATTATATAATAGGCTATATATGTTCAAATTTTCCCAGTTTTCATAAAGATGTATGTTTTTTATCCAAGATCCAATCAAGATTTATACTTTGCAATTGGTTGTTGTTTCTAAGGTCTCTTTTAATCTAGAACAATAGAACAATTTTCACTACCTTTTTTTTTCACTTCTCATGACATTGCCACTTTTTAAACATCCCAACCAGTTAACTTAGAGAATGTCCCATATTCTGAATTTGCCTGATTATTATCCCCATGATTAGGTTCATAGTAAACATTTTGGCAAGAATTCATAGGTGACTCTGTAGTTTAATTGCACCTCTTCAGGAAAAGTTAATGTCAGCTTGTTCTACTACTGGTGTCAGGAAGTTTGATCACTTGGTTAAAGTCATGACTGCAAAATTTACCCCCTATAATTAATGTCATGAGTGGAGTGTTACTTTGAGACCACCCCAACAAATCTTTACACAAAGGTTTTGACATACATTGACAACCAGTTATTACACTGGAAATTGCAAAATGATGATTTTCTATCTCTATCATTCTTTTAACATTAATTATTAAAGATAAACAAAAATAAATTAACCTACCTATAAATCAAACTGATAAGAAAAGGGAAAACAATGATTCAAGCAGATTTGACCAAGGATTCTGTACATCTTTAGTGAGCTATATTTCAAAGACAAAAAGAACAGAAAATGAAATTTTAAACTTTACTTAGTGGTACATTATTAATAATCCTATAGGTATCATAATTCTGAAGCTTTTCATGTAATTATAGAATAAAACAAATAAGCAGATATAGTCATAAAATTAGGACCCAGAATTTCATTGTAAGAGCAAAAAAATACACATATAAAACAAAATCAGGTGAGGAAAAATGCTATAATGTTACATTTAAATTAGAACTATCAATACTAACCATGATTTAAGAAAAAAAAAATTACTTCTTAGTTAAACAAAGACACTGCAGTAGCAATAGCATAACTAGCTCCCAGATCTTGGTTTCTCATGTGCTTACTAGCCATTTGTGTATCTCCTTTGTGAAATGTCTGCTCAAATCTTCTACCTATTTTTATTGGATTGATGGAGTGGAAGGACTTTTTGTATTCTAGGTTAAGAGCTCATTATCAGATCTATGTTTGTGAATATTTTCTCTCACTGTATGTCTATATTATTTATTTTCTTAACAGTTTTTTGTTTTGTTTTATTTTGGGGTTTCCTTGTGTGTGAAGGGATGGAGGGAGGAGCAGAGGGCGAGGGAGAGGGAGAATCCCAAGCAGGCTCCACACCCAATGCAGAGCCCAATGTGGAACTCAAACTCAAAACCCTGAGATCATGACCTGAGCCAGAATCAAGAGCTGGACACTTAACCAACTGAGCCACCCAGGCACCACTTAAACAGTGTGTTTTTGATGAATAACTTTTAATTATGGTGAAGTCCAATTTACCCATTTTTTTCTTTTATGGTTATTGCCTTTTTGTGTCCTGCCCAAAAAACTTTTGCCTACTCACAAATCACAGATACTCTTCTCAGATCTTTATAGCTTTAGTTTTAAGAATTTTTTTCAATTTAAGTAAGTCAATTGAGTTTCAAAAAAATCTTTATACCTTTACTTTTTAATGTATTAGTCTATGATCTATCTGTGTATGATATGAAGTAAGCATGAAGGCTAATTTTTCTATATGGGTATCCAATTATTCCAAAATCACTTGTTAAAAAGATTTCCCTTTACCTATCAAATGACTTTGGCATCTTTGTAAAATCAAATACCTGTATAATTGTGAGTCTAATTCTCTCTCTTCTGTCCTCTGATTTACATGTCAATTCTTATGCTAGTGCCATACAGCTTTGATTACTATAGCTTTATAGTAGCCTTTGAAATAAGTAGTTAGGTCTTTCAACTTTGCTCTTTTTCAAGATGCTTCGAATATTATAGATCCTCTGCATTTCCAAGTAAATTCTAGAAAAAGTTTGTCAATTTCTACCAAAAGCATGGTGAAACTGTGGCTAGATTATGCTGAATCTACAATTAGTTTGGGAAGAACTAACATTTGAGTCAGTTCAATATTAAATCCATGAACACGGTATGTATTTCCATATAAAGTAATCCTTTTTTCTCAGCAAGATTTCATAGTTTTCAATGAAAATATCTTGCAGTTCTTTTATTAAACTTATTCCTAAGTATTTTAACTTTTTTGATGCTATTGTGAGTGAAGTTAATTTCTTATTTTGTTTTCTAGTAGTTTAGGATAATATACGAAAATAGCATATTAACCTTGTATCCTGAAATTTTCTAATAGGTATTTTGTAGATGTCTTAAAATTTTCTCTGTAACATCTGCCCAAAAAAAAACAGGACAAAAAACAAAACAAAACAAAAACAAAAACAGGTTTTCTCTTCTAATCTTTATGCCTTTCATTACTTTTTCTCATCTTATTGAAAGGGCTAAGATCTTAAAGGCAATGAGTATAAATAATGAGAATGGGTATTCGTGCCTAATTCTTAATCTTTGGGGAAGCATTCAATATTTCACCATTATGTAGTACTGTTAGTTTTTCATATATGCCATTTCACATATTCCATTTATTAGATTGAGGAAGTTCTCTTCTATTTCATGTTTCTGAGAGTTTTTAACAGCAAATGAATAAAGTTTATCAAATGCTTTTTCTGTATCTATTGAAATGACAATATAGTTTTTTTCCTTTTTCTGTTAATATGGTGACTTACTTTCACTGATTTTCAAATATAAAGCAACCTTTTAATCCCGGGAATAAAACTGACTTGTCACCAAATATTATCCTTTTTATGTATCATTGGATTTGATTCACTAATAGTTGATTATGGATATTTGTGTAAAGATTATTGGGGATACTGATCTGTAATTTTCTTTTCTTATAAGGTCTCTGTTAGGTGTTGTATTGGATTGTGCTGGCCTCTTAAAATGAATGGGAAGGTAGTAGTTCCTTTATTTTTTGAAGGAGTTTGTTGGAATCGGTTTTATATCTTCCTTAAATGCTGGATAGAATTAAACAATAAAACCACCTGGACTTGGGAGTTTTTGTTATGGGAAGGTTTTTAATAATGAATCCACTTTTTAATGGAAATAGGATTACTTAATCATATGTCAATTTAAGTTTTCTTTTGTCCATTTTAGCCAAGATGTCAAATGCATTGCTTTAAAGTTGTTCAAAACATTCTCTTATTATCCTGTTACTTTCTTTAGAGTTTTAGTGATCACTCCTCTTTAATTCCTAATACTGGTTATTTTGGTCTCTTTTTCTTAATCAGTTTGGATAGGAGCCCATCAGCTTTGTTGATCTTTCCAAAGAATAAACTTTAAGATTTATGAAATTTCCATATTGTTTTTCTGTTTTCCCCTTTCATTGATTCCTAGTTCAGTCTTTATTTTTCTTTTTTTTCTACTTATTTTGGGTTTACTTTGCTCTACTTTCTCTGGTTTCTTAAGATAAAATCTTAGGTTCCTGAGTTTAGACCTTTCTTCTTTTCCAAAATAAACCTTTAAAGCTATAAATCCTCTAGCTG